ACTCATCCAAAGCTTAATACTTACTTGACGTTTACGTTTCTACATCTATAGTAGTGCAAAGAGTTTTAAACAGTTATAGAGTGGACATTCGAATAAATTTTTAACACTTTCAGTAGCAGGTCAAACTATACTAATGTTTTACTAAATATATACTATCATAATAATGCATTAACACACACTTCTTTGTTGTCTAAGATCTCAGCAATTACAGCATATTTCTGAATAATTCTTTTTTTAATAAAAAGCCCTACACTTACGTCACGCTTTAGGTTACATATTTTCACGCCATTAAACATAGGGGGTAAATATTTTGGATAAAAACCCTAATGTGGGAAAGAGACCAAAAGTTGCTGCCAACATCAAGGAAGCAAGATTGCCATAGTAAGGTAATTGGTATTTTGACATTTGCTAGTAATAAATATATTGTAAAAATGTCTATTGCTCAAATTAAAGTATTGACAAGTATCTGTTCTAACAATAACATTTTACAGTCTGTAATTCGAAAGCCTAAGAATAAGAAATCCTAACCTCAAGGGGCTGCAATTTGTTTCTTTAATGTGTTCAAAGAAATTAATTCTAATTAATACGGCCAGTTTTATACTTCTGTTCCAGCTAAAGGAATAAAACTTTTTTGCTCACGAGAAACCGGATTTAAATCCTAATAAATACAAAAAACTGTTCGAGTCATTCAAAGCGGTTACTTAAAAAAAATGTTAACTGACATCACTACCATTCATTGCGTAATCGCGCGGGAAGTTTGACAGATGGATATGAAATATCATTTTTTTTTGCATAAAATGTATGAGTTAATTCTAAGTTATTATATGTCAAAGGGAGGTTAAGAAAACCTACTACATAATACAATTTCCCATCATACTAATACTCGTATTATAAATGCGAAAGTTTAGATGGATGTTTGTTAGAGTTTGTAGCCTAAACGGCTGAACGGAATTTGATGAAATTTGGTACAGATGTAGAAGATAGTCTGGAACACATACTTGTGTTTTTTTTAATTCCACGTGGACTGTCGCGGACGAAAGCTATTTTATACTTCCAATTTTGATTTTCATTTGTTTTAATTCTATTTCAAATTGAATTAAATCTTTTATTACCTACGGAATGAATTGTGAGTACATTTAAATTACGAAACAAAGGTAATTAAATTAAATATAGCCATAAAATTACATTAAATAATGGTCGGTCAATCTGTTTTAATGTGTTTTATGAGCTTGTAACAATATTATTAAAAACATTAACTATGAATTTGGTTGATTTATGACCGAGATCGAGAATTGAGAGAATTATTACGATAATTGCTTGGTAACGAAAATTTGTGTTTTAGTGTTGTGCGTAGATTAGTTATCGATATCGATGTTATTTACATTATCGGATAATATCAATTAAGAAATCCATCTTTTTTTCATTCAATTAAATCTATTTCTTTTAACAATGTTAATTGACAAAAGTATATTAACAGTTAATTAAAACTCAAGTATAAGTTTGTAAAAATTAAAGTGCACTTTTTCCTAAATAAAATTAAAATTCAGAAAATAATATGTATTTGTTTTTCCTACCTAATTGTTACCATGTACTCTGTAACGAAAATATTTACGATTCAATAAATTACATTGTCGATAGCCAAGGTATGTCATAGATATTTTCTATCGATACATTAATCTCTCAAGCACAACACTAAATAAAGATTTATTACCATTATAATTATTGGGCGGATTAAATTTTACTTTCAATGCCTAACACTATACGTTACACAAATTATGGTAACAATGTCACAGTATTCTGTACAAAATAAACCTTATATTTAATATGTTTAAAGTTCAATTTACTTTTTTGATTAAAATCACACGTGTAGATGTCGATATGAGTTATTATCTTAATAATAGGTTATTTTTTTAATAAAAACCATAGAGTAGTGACTATGATCATGTGAACATGTAAAAATGTATTAATATACTAACTGTTGCTCGCGACTTCGTCCACGAAAAATTTAAAAATGTAACCTACGTTCGGCGATATCACAGCTTTTTCATAGTGTAAGAATTTTTGAAATCAGTCCAGAAGTTTTTCAGTTATTTCAATACATATGAAAATGCGAAAAAACAAATCTTCCCTCTTTAATATATGGATAATATTATAAATGCGAAAGTTTAGATGGATGGATGGATGGATGGATGTTTGTTTGTTAGAGTTTGTAGCCTAAACGACTGAACGGATCTCGATAAAATTTGGCATGGATGTAGAGCATAGTCTGGAAGAACACATATGCTACTTGATTTAGTTTTTTTTTTTAATTCCTCGTGGACGGAGTCGCGGGCGAAAGCTCGTATATAGATATGGATAACTTGATGAAATAGGTTAAATGTTAAAACATTGGTAAGATGTGACGTAAAAAAATTCAAAATACTAAGGTGCCTACAATCCCTAAAGAACCTCACAAATAACTTAAAGGCTTGTAAACTTTTCAATAAAAAAACAGTTGAACCAAACTTTTCCTCTCTCAATGAATAATCTCTTTTTCCCACTAAAATATAAGTACTTTCATAATTCAATGAAAACATAATCTATACTAGTATTATAAAGAGGAAAGATTTGTATTTTTGTATGTATTCGATTCACGTAAAAACTACTGAGTCGATTTTAAAAATTCTTTCACCATTAGAAAGGTAATTTCACTGTTAGTAACATAGGCTATGTAACAGGCGTTTTATTATTATTTTTAATTTCTCGCAGGCGATGTCGCGAGCAACAACTAGTAGGTATATAAATTGTTAATCAATTTTTTTTTATTTATATGAATCATTTGGATAAAACGGTATAGAAATAATCTACGAATACATAAATTCTTTAAACTATTTTTAATTAAAAATCTAACGGATATCTTTTCAATCAGATAATTTTGAGGAAGTAATTAATATGATAAATGTATTTTATAGTTAAAATTTTAAACTTCAAGGAGTAACGTACTTTAACAAGGGCAACAATTTTCCTAAGATTTGGCCCAAATTTAGTCCCTTTCCCTTTCCACCTTTTTACTTATAAGAAAAGGGTGGGTAGGGAAAGTGGATTTCACGGAGAAACGTCATCTTTATGTGCGTCTCCTACACCGTCGATAAAAAGTAAGCAACGCATCCGTATTGCAAATGTCTTTAGGCAGCGGTCGCTTCGCCTTTTTGGCAGATTCAAGTGGCCGCTTGTTATTTATCCCATGTGTACTCCAGACTTTGTTTTATATCTGTGCCAAATTTCATGGGGATCCGTTCAGCCGTTTAAAACATCCATCCATCTGTCGTAACTTTCGCATTTATAATATTTATATATATGATGATACTCGACGATAACGAAGCTTTCTAAAGGTGTCAGAATTTGTAAAATCAGACCAGCAGTTTTTATAATATTTGAACGTTACAATAACATAACTTGCCTTAGCAACAATGTTGCTGAGACTCAAATCAAAAAGTAGTAAAACACATTGTTTACGGAAGATAATAAAATGGCGCGTAAAAACTATTTTTAAGCTGCAAAACCTGATTTTGTCACTATAAATAAAACCTCGTGTCGCAGTTTTTAAGGGCATGGGGTCTCGGCCAAGGTCATTATAATCCAGTTATCAAGGAAACTCGCAAAAAGGTAGAAGCTGTAATACTAAACTAAACAAGATAACTAAAATATTAATAATTTTAAACTACACACAGATCTAAATAGTAAAAATGGTTCCAGCCAGCACTACCTTTTGCATAAAATAAGTAATTTTAAAAAATCGGTCCACCGCGTTCGGAGTTATGTCGTAACACAAACCATATAAGCTGAAAAAAAACATTTTATGTATGAGAGTTGAATTTTGTATCTGAAGACTTATTAGGAATATTCGTGAGAACGAATTCGTAACGTAAACGACAAAGTTCTCGCAATTGTCATGCAAATTACGACTACTGGCAACTATTTCGCATCAAAATGAAAAAGAATCACGTAATAGCACTATAAATCGGATCATGCCCATCCTTTCTCTGTCCCCACGTGAGGACAGATGGGTTAAAATTTTCATCCGTCCCACCTTTTGCGACGAGGGGACAGTTGGGACTTATTTTAATTCATAACGGTTCCATCTGTCACCTTATTGGTGATAGTGGGACTAAAAGGTGGGACGGATGAAACTTCTGACGTGCAAAGAGACAGCAGACATAGCAGGGTGACGGTTGGCAATAATCCCATAACATACATAAGACGGTTTTTTCGATGTTCAACAATTTAACTTAAAAAAAGATATTGTATAAAAGTCCAATCAATCATCACAACACTGACGAATATCTTTTAAACAAATCCGCTTAAGAGCGGTATTAAAGCGGTTAAAAGGAATAAGCGGAAGCGATTCTTATAATTTACTAAAGTAATAGTTTCAACATATTTGTTAAAACATCTTGTTATTCTCTCGTTCTTTTTTCAAAAATAAGAGATTAAAATATTGTTAGTAGATCTTCACAACTGTGTATGTTTAATGTTTAACGTTTTTTGGTCCATGAAAATTCTTGACACGTACACCAACACGTCTATATGTTTGTGATTTCTTAATAAATTTGAATAATTTCTCGAAAATTTTCGCGTTAGCCCTAGATATTGTTCGACAGAGGTATAAAAAGTAGATACTAACAAAATGAAACAAATAAATAAGTATTGAATAAGCCCAAATTTGAATGGCTACAAAGGTACAGAAAAGCCAAAAAAGTGTTACGCTAAAAGAATTATAAGAAGGGAGTGAATTAATATTATGATGATTTATAAATATTTATAGAAGTTAGTATATGTCAATACTACGTAAGAAAAAGAGAAAAAATAAATACGGTTTGAAATCGCTTCATCTTCTAACATATTCCATTACCATACCTGTTCAAAAAAAGTTGAGCACAACTGTATGACTCATGACGTTTTGTACACCGTTGTATAAAAGTAATGCAGCGGTCTAATGAATCCTTCAGTATACTGTCGTCATAGCTTTGAGTGCAAGGCAATATCGCTCTTAAAACTATCTTGTTTACGTCTATAATCGTTTTAAACAAGTTTCAATAGTGCTGTCTATGTGTGGGTGATAGATGTTGACAACATTTTTTGTAAATTACAAGTGATTTTATAGATTTTTCCATCAAAAAAACTATAATAGGATTGCAGGTGAGTTGCATAAAAATGAAGAAATCCAAGGCTTAAAAGTCTATATTTTCTAACGGAATTAGTTGCGATTTTACTTAAATTCTCAGCCAATTAAGGGCCTCCTTTGTTTGATTCGATTTTTGAATTTGCAATTGATATGGCAAATGTTAACATATATTATAATAAAGCGTAAACACACACTTCTTTATTGCCTAAGATGTCAGCAATTACAGCATATTTTTGAATAATTATTTTTTTAATAAAAAGCCCTACACATGCGTCACGCTTTAGGCTATATATTTTCACGCCATTAAACTTAGGGGGTAAATATTTTGGATAAAAACGAAAGGAAAGTGGAAGGAAAGTGGAAAGTGTCCATAAGTTGCTACCAACATCAAGAAAGAAAGATTGCTTAGGTTTGTCATGTCATGTCATTTTGACATTTGCTATTAATACTTTGACAAATGTAAACAATAAAATAAACTTTTCATAAATTTATGCGGATGGAATCGCACGGGAACAGCTAGTGTTAACATAAAATAGAGTTTTTGTAATGCTTCATGGTGGGAAAACCCACTCTTATGACGTAATTTGATGCATTTGATGCAAGCAATTTACGCTTGTATAACCTTACTCGATCTTAAGTGGGCATAATTCAAGGGAAAACTTTTAACTCAGCCTTTTAAAGGTGACACAATTTCTTAATTGCTTGGAAAATTTACTGGCATATTAAAAGAAATCTTTCCTTTATACGAAGGTTCAAAAAGTGTTCGAATGCAAGGTTTCTACTAGCTTTTGCCCACGTCTTCGTCTGCACGGGAATAATAAAACTAAGTAGCCTATGAATTCTTCTAGCCTATTGTATAGCTTTGCAAAATTAACTAACGGTCTTGACTTTGTAAGCGTAGAATTAGAAAAACGCTATGTTATTTAAGTTAATTTTTAAGTTAGAGATTACCCGAAACAAACTCGGAAATACGGACAAATAAAAACTTTGAAAATTGTTTTTTCATTCAAATATGATTTTTTTTAAATTAAGTTACCTCTATTTTATTAAACTATTGTAGTTCTTATCTAAAAAGCAATAAAGGTTAAAATTCTTTTAATTTTTTAAAAGACTAGATTTATAACAATCTGAAATAAACCTTAACTACAAACAATAAGGTATGTAACAGCTTGTTTTAAGATTCATCAATTTTGTAACACGATCGCCTCATATCGTCCGATAGTTATGACGTATGACTACGCAAGAAGAATATCTAGGCCAATGATTGGATATACAATTGTTTCCAACATATCTGCAGATACGACTTTATTAAGTGACGACCTGGGCTGGTGGGTCGGCACAGTATGTGCTGCCCTTCCACACATCTTTTTTTTTTTATAATACGAGGTAGCAAACGAGCAAGCGTGACCTGAATCCACCGAAATGGAAAGCGACCGCTACCCATAAACATCCGCTATTGTAGATGCGTTGCCTACCCTAATTGACGGAGGAGGAGACGCACATAAAGAGGACATTTCCCCTTCCTATGCATCTCCTTCACCGTCCAATCCACTTTTTCCTCCCATCCTTTCCTCTTAAGAAAAGGGTGGAAAGGAAAAGGGACTAAAATTAGGCCTCCGGCACCAACACACATCTCTATCAGCCGTCATATAACAAACCTAGGAAATATATTAATCGCCATGTAATTGACAGTATCAAGTAATTTCACTTTAAAATTCTCTGCAAATAAATACAAATAGCCTGTGTTCTTCCAGTATACACTACAACTATGCCAAATTGCATCGAGATTTCAGCTGTTTTGGCTACAAACTCCAACAGACATCCATTCAGTTTTCGCATTTATAATATCACTAGCTTTCGCCCGCGACTCCGTCCGGGTGGCATTAAAAAAGCAAAGTGAGTAGTTTATGCGTTCATCCAGGCTATTCTCTACATATGTGCCTTTATCGAGATCCGTTCATCCGTTTAGGCTACAAACTGAATCTCAAAGATATAAAATACTAGCTTTTGCCCGCGACTCCGTTCTCCTGGAATTAAAAAGAAAACAAAAGCAGGTAATGTTCTTCCAGACTATTTTCTATGTCTATGCCAACTTTCATCCAGATTCGTTCAGCAATTTAGGCTACAAACTCTAACAAACATCCATCTAAACTTTCGCATTTATAATATTACTAGCTTTCGCCCACGACTTCGTCCGCGTGGCATTTAAAAAAACGAAAGTGAGTAGCCTAAGTGTTCTTCCAGACTATCCTCTACATCTACACCAAATTTCATCGAAATCCATTGAGCCGTTTAGGCTACAAGCTCTAATAAACATCCATCTAAACTTTCGCATTTATAGTAAGTATGATTATAAATCAACTTATGAATGAGAGAAATGAGTTTATTGAACTACTTATCTTACATTACGCAGATCATTTTGTTTACGTCGAGCACGTGTCGATGTACCAATCTCGCCGATCTTACCCTTGACACCGCGTAGATACGATGACGCTAACATAAATAATATTTCATATCATACTAATATTATAAATGCGAATGTTTAGATGGATGTTTGTTAGAGTTTGTAGCCTAAACGGCTGAACGGATTTCGATAAAATTTGGTAGAGATGTAGAGGATAGTCTGGAAGAACACATATGTTACTCACTTTCGTTTTTTTTTTAAATTCCACGCGGACGAAGTCGCGGGCGAAAGCTAGTGATATTATAAATGCGAAAGTTTAGATGGATGTTTGTTAGAGTTTGTAGTCTAAACTGCTGAATGGATTTCGATGAAATTTGGAACAGATGTAGAGGATAGTCTGGAAGAACACATAGGCTACTCACTTTCGTTTTTTTAAATTCCACGCGGATGAAGTCGCGGGCGAAAGCTAGTGATATTATAAATGCGAAAGTTTAGATGGATGTTTGTTAGAGTTTGTAGCCTAAACTGCTGAATGGATTTCGATGAAATTTGGTATAGATGTAGAGGATAGTCTGGAAGAACACATAAGCTACTCGCTTTTGTTGTTTTTTTTTTAAATTCCACGCGGACGAAGTCGCGGGCGAAAGCTAGTGATATTACAATTGCGAAAGTTTAGATGGATGTTTGTTAGAGTTTGTAGCCTAAAGTTCTGAATTGATTTCGATGAAATTTGGTACAGATGTAGAGGATAGTCTGGAAGAACACATAGGCTACTCACTTTTGTTTTTTTTTAAATCCCAGGCGGACGAAGTCGCGGGCGAAAGCTAGTAATATTATAAATGCGAAAGTTTAGATGGATGTTTGTTAAACTTTGTAGCCTCAACTGCGGAACGGATCTGGATGAAAGTTGACATAGAACATAGTCTGGAAGAACACATAGGCTTCATTTTATCCCGGGAATAGTTACGGTTCCCGTGGGATTCATTTAGTTTTTTAATGTTTACTCGATCATTCTGCAACGGTCCAACATATCTTATTGAAATTTGGCACAGATATAAAAAAAATCTGGAGTACACATGGGATAAGGTTCATCCCCAAGAAATGTCCGGTTCCCGAGAGATACGTAGCTTTTTGTGATTTATATGGTTCGTATGTTTTCTAATACCACGCGGACGCAGTCGCGGGCAACATCTAGTCATTCATAAAAAATATAGGAGGGACTTTTTTCGTAAAGCAATAGACACTTCACTGATAAGATATCTGTCTTCCTTAGAGTATTATAACAAAAAAACATCCTCACTTCCTTATACATTCCATTCGTTCTTATCTATGTCATTTAGACCGCTTTCTTTTTTTTAATAATATGACAGTTTAGGGTAAGGCCAACCTTTTTTTATGCCAGTTATGTTGGTATAAGGAAATCTTGTTGCTATGGGGATAACTGATGTTAACCAATAGCCTAAATGATAAACTACAGATATCCGATCACGTGATCGTGAGTTCGAATCCAGCCGTTCGATGTAATAAATATCTTTTGCGTATCATCATCATCATCATCATCAGCCTTTGTTCGTCCACTGCTGGGCATAGGCCTTCCCCAATGCCTTCCACAGAATGCGGTCCTCCGCCTTCCACATCCAACGACTTCCCGCCGTGCGCACTAAGTCGTCGGTCCATCTGGAGGGAGGACGCCCCACGTTCCTGGTCCCTGTCCGTGGCCTCCATTCTAGGACATTTGCGTATACCTGGGCCTTATTATTTAAAAGTGTCGTAATATTTATTAAAAATCATATCTTAAGTTCTATTTGACAAAACAAGGTTAATAATATTTTGTTAGCCTTTCAGCATTCGAAATAAGGTAATAATTAGGTTTTTTTTCATGTTTTATATTATAAATGCGAAGTTTGGATCGATGGATATTTGCTAGAGTTTGATGTTTGATAATATAAGGTGGCAGACGAGCAAGCAGCTACCAGAATCCACCAAAATGGAAAACGACCGTTGCCCATAAACATCCTCAATTGCCGATGCGGAGGATGAGACACACATAAAGAGGACATTTCACCTTCCTATGCGTCTTCTCCACCGTCAAATCCGCTTTTCCTTCCCATCCTGGGACCAAGATTAGGCCTCCGGCACCACACTCATCAAACGAAACGCGGAATTGCTTCCACTTCACGCCTGTTTTCTGTGTGGTCGTAGTATTGCTGGGGGCGAGCCGGCCCCGCAGTGCTTAGATGTTAAAGCGGGCTCTACCACTGTTAAATTGTTTGTAGCCTAAACGGCTAAACATTTGTATAAAATTTGACAAATGTAGAACATAGTCTGGAAGAATACATTAGCTAGTTGTTTTTTTTTGAATTGCACGCGTTCATTCCATAATACAAAGTATGACAATTTCTAGGTAATGTTACACGTGAATGTGACATGGATTAAAATCGTGATTGTCACTAAAGTGACACTTAACATGACACTCTGTGTCATTGTTTAATGAACAGCACGCGCCAACAAAGATAAGATTATAATTCTTAACTGTATTTGATAAAGACTGTAATTATAAGACTATAATCTATACTATATTATAATAAAACGTAAACACTCACTTCTTTG